GAAACGTCTTCCATCTATGCTAAGCTCTAAACTAGGTGCTACCAACTATCCGAAACCAAAAGAACACACGCCATCCATGTGTGAGGCACTAAAATTAATTGTTTTCGAGGTGAATGGTTGAAGAAAGGGGCTAACGTTTCCTTTTGATTTCGTGCTAAGTCTACATTTCTTTGCCAAGGACGGAGAGCATACGTAGTCCAGTTTGACAATTTCTCAATGCAGCATTTTGCATTAATCCTCCCAACAAACTTGTCGATAAATGAACCCAGGTTTATTAACAAATTAGAGAAGTAAAAGATTTTTAATCGACTTCAAGTATTTCCAAATTTCCTTTCCTCAAAACAGACATACCTAGGCAAAGAGGGTTAGATATGCATCACTGCTTACTTAGATGGACGTTTACAATCTAAGCAAAATGTAGGATTAAGAAAATCAGTGACTTAACTAAACTATATGAGAGAGTGGAAATTTAGCGCAAAACAATACCACTGCGGTATGAATGTTTAAATGACAGAACAACGTACTTTGATGGAAAAGGAAGCAATGTAATGACGGGGATCACTGCAAAGTCAGGAAAACTCACTAAGAGGGTTCGCAACAACATCCTTTGCCACTGCGAAGTCTGCTACAACAGCAGTAGCAATTGTGGCTGGGACTCCAAATGGATCAACATTCACACATCTCCCTTCGTACTTCGTGTATCAAGCTTAAAGGGTAGAAAAATGACTTTAATGATGCCACTAGGGTGTGTGAAACGTTCACTGAAACCACATTCATATACTAGCATTCCTGCAATGCTGTAAGGTTTAATAGTTAATATTTAGGAATGGAAAACAAACCTCTCCTTCAAATACCACTTAAGATATGTGCGTCCACTACCCTAATATCCCATTTATACTGTCGGTGAACGTCAAGAATAATTTTGTGTAACTTAATGCAAATGCACAATGCAAAAAGTAAAGCACCCAATGATATAACAAGGCTGAGATAAAAGCACAAAGGTGAAGAGCACAACCTGCATAAGTAGGCTTGGGCCAACTGAGGCTAGCAAATTCAGACTTAATTGTCCATTTCCACTTCTCTTTAAGCGTCAAAGTGAGCTTACAAATATGAGGATCTGAAGCCAGTTTGAAGCCCACATGAACAGCAGCAATGCCACCATACGCTAAGGGAACTAAAGAGAAGATCCAACACACATATGTCTGAAAAGGGCTAAAAAGTGGACAAAGGCATCTAGCTATTGCTCACAAGTTAAAATGGTTAGCCATGTACAAGCTATAAATAGATAAATATAACAATGACACCGTATATACATGTTGATTCAAAAATAACGACGTGCTATTTACAGGTCAGAACCTAATTTAAGAGAAGTAAAACGAACTCCAATTCGACTTCCAATAAATCAAAAGTCTGGAAAAAAAAGGGGGAATCCCACGTACCACAAACACCAGCAGCAAATACGTGCAAAGCAATCAAGAACCGCCGCGAACAAATCAGGTGCGCACATGCAAACCCATGTCAGCCGCTCCCAGGCAAAATGCGCTATTTATTACAAATTCAAACAAAAAATCGTCAAACTGAAGAAAGGATTTTCATGTAAAATGTGTAAGGTGTTGCATTAATTTTTTTACTTAAAAGAAAAACAACTAATATAGGGTCTTATACTAGCAACCATTTGGTTTTTAGCCTCACAACCTATAAGTAAAGTTATAAATAGTTTTTGATGACTCCAGTAAGTAAAATGTAATATTTTTTCCTAATCCCTTATATTAAAAACTTATTTTAAAGTGTATATAGTGCAATCACTGGAAGTGAAGGAAGAGATGAAGCGAGGTCGATTGAAAAAGGCGAGATTGGACGTCTTTCCCTTTAAATTTATTGGAAAAGGTACCTAGCGAGTGACAGAAAAGTGCAGATTCTGCTTCCACTTTTACTTGCGCCTCGGTAAATTAACGTGATTGTGCTTCTGCTGCTTGCTTGTCAGATATACAAATCAGAT